TAATATATGACCGGACATATAATAACTGTCCAACATTCAAAACCGCTTTTGAGGGAACATCACATCAGGAATAGATATAGGTATACGCATGCATGCGAGAGCTGCGAGCTGCGAGAGCCGGGAGCCGAGAGCCGAGGCAGCTAGAATACAAAACATATATAGCTATACCCGTGTATACGCACATATTCCTTCCCCCTCTACTAGGTACCTATCGTACGCACAATTTGGTCTTCTCCTCCGCTGCTGAAACGTGCGTATAGTTCGGCTGATTTGCCGCGACGGGGCGCTCAAAACAGTGGAAAAAAAGCGACACACTCTCTACCATAGGCGCTGGCAATCTCCCTTCTAATCTCTGCTTACGCATCATGAGCTTTTTGGTGTTACCACTTCAACCAAAAATTTATGTGATCTAAGGGGGCTCCAGCGAGCACTGTTACCAACCCAAAAATAATTGTGTCAGTTTGTATCTCAGCTGCAAGTATATGTGCGAGCACCACCATGTATGTATACCTATGCATAACTATAAAAACTGCATGCTCATACAAGCAGAACACAACGACTTGAATACTTAACGGATTATCTCGAATTTTTTCAGGGTTACCTATATTTTGCAATGTACCATCTGAAAGCTGAGATTTTTTTTTATAAAACAGTTACTATCCTGATATGTAACTTCTACATTATGGTTAGAAAATTAAGATATTTTTATGTTGCTCCATAAGAGGTTGTGTATAATTTGTGAGCTTTGAGAGCAAGTATCTCGAAATTTTCCACGGTTAGAGAGATAAATAAAGACACCGTTGAATTCAGTGGGTTCTTATCTATCAACTAAACTACCTATGACCTTTTAACTCCTCCCGCTGGAGCACCGTTAAGTACTGCTGTGTTGAATAAAGCATATTGATGGACTTCGTTCGCGATGTATGGAATAAGTTTGTTAACTAAAATTATGAAATTGTAGGTGACATGTTTTAGTCAATATGTTTGATTACATTTAAGAAAAAAAAAAAAAAAAAAAAAAAAAAAAAAAAAAAAAAAAAAAAAAAAANATTAAAGACGATTAAGGACTCATTTTTACCCTAGAGGAAATTAGTCTTATCGTCACTTTTTTTCGCTCTATCATGATTTATGAGGTAAAAACTAAGAGAAAAAAAATAGTGGCACTTCCTACATACGTAAACATCTTTGAATACGTATAAATTTCAGATTTTTAGTGGTTACGAAATAACACGCTTTTTCAGAATTAAGATAATTTTGATGTTTTTCAGAATTTTCTTCAAGTTTATTACGCTACTTTTTTACTTTTTCTCCATTTTTGGCTAATTTTATATCTTTTTCTGTAAAACTTTTTTTAAAATTTATTCTATCAATTGAATGCTTCACTTTTTTTATTTTTGCTTTTATTTCTCTATTAACTTCGAAATTATTTAATTTTACGGAACTTTTTGTAATTTTTCTCAAAACGGAGTCATTCTAAATCCTTAAATTTGTAACCTCCGCGAAAAAATATTTATGTTTGAATAATTAACAGTAAATTTTTTTTTTTGGGTTAGGGTAACGACAAATCGACTTAAAAATGAATTTCTACACTAAATAATTATTTAAAAAGGTTTTCCTCGCATTGATAATTAGACTTATTATCTAATTTGATTTCTCATCACTTAAAATATGTACATACACCTTGACGACAAGATACAGCTGGTTACGGTAATGACCGATTTCATTATTTTTTTAAGTGCACGAAAAAAAAGATTGTCGCAAAAAAGAGTTTTTCAATTTTTCAATCGCCTTGCAGGTTCATAAACATAGTACATATAATTAAAGGTAAACAATGTCAGTGGCGACACCACTGGAATTGAAAAAGCAGTTGTACTGCAAGAATTTGTGCTAGAAGTTTGAAATTAACAAAATCAAGAGACAAAATGTACGATAGAAAATTGTTTAAGAATTGTTTTTCCGATACAGTTAAGTAGGTATTTGACTTCAAGATATTTCGATATGAAAAGTTAAAAAAATCGAAATTTTTTTTTTAATGAAGGTAGACAATGTAAAATTCTGACCGGAGACAGGTTATGGTAATGACATTTTAACATTATATTCTTTGTTAAAGCTTGCAAATCATACCTGATTCGAGATTTTTCGTATGAATACAAAAAAAACACAATTACTTTTTATAAAATTTTCGTATATAAATATTAGTTTAACAATTAACTGTTTGTAAAGAGCAAGGACCTGAAAAGCCCAAGTTTTTTTACAATGACCCATATGTACAATAGTTCTTGAGTGAAAATATACTTAATAATGTTTCAAATGAACACTTGCAGTACGATCCTCGTTTTGGCGATGCATTTTGGAACAGCAGTCGATTTTCTATGGTCCAGTATTTGTACATGATGATGTCAAGCTGGGCAATCGTATGTGATGTTTGGTACCTTCCTCCAATGTACCGGAAAGAAGACGAGAGTGCCATAGATTTCGCAAATAGAGTGAAATCTGTTATCGCGAGGCAAGGAGGACTCGTTGATCTTCAGTGGTAATCACATGTTTTATTTTTCGATCGATTTTGAAGAATATCTCATATAATTGTAGAAAACGATAGTAATAGTATAATACGTCATGAAGCAGGGAAGTAGTACATTCCCGTCCGCGTGTAAATTGCCACCCGAGGCGAAGCCAAGAGTGGCCAATACACGGGCGGTGATGTGTTATTACCATGCCGAATGGTTTATATGATTTTTCTTCACACCCGGCGGGACATTTGCGACCCAAAATAAGTTATTTGTTGCTTAATTTTATATAAAATCAACACGCAGTCGTTATAACGTTCATTGTGAATGCTCATGCATTTTTTGATTCAGGGAAATAAAGAGCAAGAGAGATAGAAAATAATATATAGCGATTTCGGTACTGTATGTAGCAGCCACGCTCGTATAGAAGTCGTTCAATTATATATAAAATTCAATTACTCACAAAATTTATATTCAAATCTTCTATACCGACATTATGGTAATTATATTAGTATGTTATGCTTCTGTGACGGTCGTTCATTTATGTATAAAATCTACTTTGAAACAAAACAGACATACAGGTATGCCACCAAATGTATAAGCTTTAAGATTCATGTACCTACAGAATCGCTTCGAGTACTCAGACGTATAGAGACTGAGTACTTGATTATTTTTTATTGTTGAGTATATCACTGCAACCTGAATATCTGCACTGCATAAGTATTGAGGTTATGATCCGAGTGTTTTGGTTTCCGTCAGCTGAGTAGAGTACATTGTCGACTATATCTTATATACACATGAGTAGCTAACGACCGACATGAGAAAATAACTACGAGAGAGCTGCGCAGTACGTTATTGCGCAACAAAAAGATTCCCAGCTTGAAATCAGAAACTCCCGTCATGATATGATGAAAATTTTTTTCGCTTACCCTATTGAAAAAAAAACTTTTTATATATTTTTACTAAAAAATAATTTGTTTTCGATGCAAGGGCACGAATCATAGTTAATCGCATCTTCTTTCAGGGATGGCCAACTCAAAAGAATGAAGCCAAAAAAAGAATGGCGAGAAAAGCAGCAAGAAGAGTTTAGCAAAAGATTGAAAGTTGAATGACTTAATGATAGTGTTCTCGTTGCTTATTTCATCAATAATTACTGCTGTGGTACGTTTTTTAGCCCTTTGAAATTGACTGCTTGATAAAGCAGTTAGTTTCAGTGGACGTTGGATCGAGAACTTTAAGCCTTGTGAATTATTGAAAGCAAACTTCGAAAACTGTAAGAATATTTGTACATCTACTTTGTTGAGCTGTTAAGAGAGACTGACTATCCAGAGCACTCTTATTTTTTGACTTATGCAATAAGTGTTTTTCAAGGATTAAGATGTGTTGACTATTTTTTTATGCCTGTTATAATAATTAATCATTATAAAAAAAAAAGAAATAACAACATCAATAAACTATTCGTAAAATACTTTTATTTTTACAAATTGTGTATGCACGAATTTCTTTAAACACTTGGAACGATTTTTAAAGTGTTAGATATTAATATATTGTACTACTTATTGAGAAAATAAAAATCTATGCTTATTATACTTACGCCAGAGATTAGAAGGGAGATTGCCAGCGCCTATGGTAGAGAGTGTGTCGCTTTTTTTCCACTGTTTTGAGCGCCCCGTCGCGGCAAATCAGCCGAACTATACGCACATTTCAGCAGCGGAGGAAAAGACCAAATTGTGCGTACGATAGGTACTCTAGTAGAGGGGGAAGGAATATGTGCGTATACACGGGTATAGCTACATATGTTTTGTATTCTAGCTGCCTCGGCTCTCGGCTCCCAGCTCTCGGCAGCTCGCAGCTCTCGCATGCATGCGTATACCTATATCTATTCCTGATGTGATGTTCCCTCAAAAGCAGTTTTGAATGTTGGACAGTTATTATATGTCCGGTCATATATTACTCATGAGATGTGTATTAAAAACTTGTACAGCTAAATACTGAGTTTTCCTCGTATAAAATAAAAAATTGAGTAATAAAAACGTAAGCCCCGACATTTAATGTAACTTCTTAAAACTTGATCTCTATAAAATAATCATTTTTACAACTTGAATAATTTATGTTTTTATAGATTTATAAAAATTTAGCACATTAAAAATATCAGAATAATACACACACGCTTCACTTTGATTTTTAAGTTTATTCAATAGAGAATGACTTTTTCTGTAATTAAAATGTCATTCTTCAACACATGTAACTTTTCTAATAAGAATAAGTAATTGTGAAAATATTTAGAAAAATAATTCTACTTGTAGGTCAAACTTTAACACAATTATCAATATAAAGAAAAAATAAACTAATACTTAAGCTTAAACCCTGGAGCTTCACGATAAACATGTGTCACTGTAAGTGCTAAAGAAAAGAGTGCGTTGGTAGTCAAGGTAACTAAGTACCGCATTGTGTAATTTTGCTTTGAGCATTCTGGGGTTCAAATCTCGCTCGCAGCAGAATTTTTTTTTTTTTACGATTTTTTTTTATGGTAGTACAAAACTTTTTTTTGATAATAGTATTTAATTCTCATGTTTATGTTGCTTACCGACTACGCTTTGTAAATTCATTCCTTGTAAAGTTGGGTGATTTTGTTAGATATTTAAATTTTTTAATAAAAATATAATATCATTAGTGGGGAAAATGCTAATTACCATTTCATCCTTTTTTAGATGGCTATAAAACTATTATTGATGAAGTTAAAAATCAACCAAAAGTAATTTAATAGTACTAAGTTATTTTACACTATTCTAACAAAATGGTTATGATCTCACTTCGATGAGGATCACACCTTTTACAACCCAATTAATAATTGTGTTAAACTTATTCAAACAATTAATTAAACTATTAGAAACCAGGAAAATTTTTGAAAACACTTTTTATCAAATGATTTTTCATTGCTTTTCCAAGTTAAACACAAGTTTATTGATAAAACACTCAGTTAACTGGAGAGCAAAGTATGGCATCACTTAACATAAAGGAAACCATGAAAACATTAGTAAAATAAAAGGCAAGGTATTAAATATTTAGGACTTAAAAATTTTTTTCCTATTTTAGAACTAAATTTTGCCTATTCTATAGATATAACTTATGTTGTACAAGTTCTTACACTAATTTTGATGATTCAGATCAAAAAATTGTTTTTAAATCCATACGGCATTTACCAAAAAAATTAAATTTATAGTACCTTATAATTTTTTCAGAGCCACAATTGTGACCTCTTATTAATCGTCTATATTTTGTTTAAAAAATTTTTAATCTAATAAAAGGGTAGTCTGAGTATGTCTCATGGTGTATACATGTCATAAAATGTATGTAAAAAAACGTATTGCGGGAAAACTGGGCTTTTTTTGTCCATGAGCACTGCACTAAAAATGCTCTCAAAATTTTACGCTTTGATCAAACTTGTCTGATTGTAAGCTCTCAGTTGAGACATTCAGCCCAAATCTAACAACAAAATTGCGGCCTATTTAGATCATAACTACTTAATTTAATCTTAAAACTTGATAACATGTATATGCGTCTGCGTTCACAGACAGAGTTCTGTTTCTCGTCAAAATTCAACTTTTTAGTACTGTATGTTTTGCTGCAGATAGCAATTAATGCAGACGCTTCATAATGCAAAATAAACATAAAAACAGTCAAAAAAGATTTGGTATCTGTTACAGAAATAAATTTAAATTCTACAACAAAGTATTGAATACAAATTTTGTAGAGCTTATAAAAAAGAAACTTTTGAAAGTAATTTTTTTTTTTTAATATCTTCTGAACGATTTAATAGCCAATTATCGTTTTTAAATGGCTGAAAAATCGTTTTACACCATTTAATTGAAAAAAAGCAGTGATGTTTTTCTGTGTTTATTTTCTAGAAACAATCCTTAAATAAGACTACCACCGAAACAATAAAATATAATGCGTTCAACAAACGTAGTCTTTACATATTTTTAGTATAAAAAGTACTAGTTTGATTCCTGGGATAAATAATAATGATAATATTCATAGTATAAACAATAATAATTTTTTTTTTTAATATTTTCTGAACAATTTAATCGCCAATTATCGTTTCTTAATGGCTAAAAAATCGTTTTACACCATTTAATTGAAAAAAAGCAATGATGTTTTTCTGTGTTTATATTCTAGAAACAATACTTAAATAAGACTACCACCTACACAATGAAATATAATGCGTTCAACAAACGTAGCCTTTAGATATCTTTAGTATAAAAAGTACTAGTTTAATTCCTGGGATAAATAATAATGATAATATTCATAGTATAAATAATAATAACAATAAAAATGTGACTTGTTACATATTGATGTGTGTACATACACATACACATACGCTTATTATATGCATCAATTGATGGGCATTTTTGTGAGATAAAGGTGAATCGAGTATTAACTCAAAAAATAGTATTATTACAGTACAAAAAAAATGAATTTTGACGAGAAATAGAACTCTGTCTGTGAACGCGGACGCATAAACATGTTATCAAGTTTTAAGATTAACTTAAGTAATTATGATCTAAATAGGCCGCAATTTTGTTGTTAGATTTGGGCTGAATGTCTCAGCTGAGGGTTTACAATCAGACAAGTTTGATCAAAGCGTAAAATTTTGAGAACATTTTTAGTGCAGTGCTCATGGACAAAAAAAACCCAGTTTGCCCGCAATACGTTTTTTTACATACATTTTATGACATGTATACACCATGAGACATACTCAGACTACCCTTTTATTAGATTAAAAATTTTTTAAACAAAATATAGACGATTAATAAGTGGTCACAATTATGGCTCTGAAAAAATTATAAGGTACTATAAATTTAATTTTTTTGGTAAATGCCGTATGGATTTAAAAACAATTTTTTGATCTGAATCATCAAAATTAGTGTAAGAACTTGTACAACATAAGTTATATCTATAGAATAGGCAAAATTTAGTTCTAAAATAGGAAAAAAATTTTTAAGTCCTAAATATTTAATACCTTGCCTTTTATTTTACTAATGTTTTCATGGTTTCCTTTATGTTAAGTGATGCCATACTTTGCTCTCCAGTTAACTGAGTGTTTTATCAATAAACTTGTGTTTAACTTGGAAAAGCAATGAAAAATCATTTGATAAAAAGTGTTTTCAAAAATTTTCCTGGTTTCTAATAGTTTAATTAATTGTTTGAATAAGTTTAACACAATTATTAATTGGGTTGTAAAAGGTGTGATCCTCATCGAAGTGAGATCATAACCATTTTGTTAGAATAGTGTAAAATAACTTAGTACTATTAAATTACTTTTGGTTGATTTTTAACTTCATCAATAATAG